TTCAGATAGTATGTCAAATAGATTGCCGATGAGAGGTAGCCCCTTTGGGCCAGGCAGATAGTGTCGATGTCTCTGAAAGTGAACAGCAAGCAAGTAAACAGATATGAGACACGTCCATAGATATATGAGAGAAGAACAAGAAGACAGAGGGAACTCCATGGCGAGCTGGCCCTTGGGTGCTTGTCATGTACTGAGCTTTGTCGCCATCTGATTATATAATTCCCATGGCCCGTACAATCTCAATACTCCACCGCAAAACAATGCAGATGATAGGTTCTGGTAGCACGTAGAGGGGAGAGAGTTTGCCACTGCCCTCTCAGTGGGTGGCCAGTGGAAATGCAGCAGTAGCATCTCCCTCATATTCTCTGAAGCTGTGAGCTGGCCGATGTCAGCAGTCTTTGGCATGAACATTCACTGATTACTAATAAGAATCTACAGAGACCATCCATGAACCTTATGCAGACTTCTTGTGAGAGGTCCGCTCTAAATTACATAGACTTAAACGCAGACCGATATGCTGCTGCGTATGTAACTCACACAGATAGACTATGCCTAGGATGACGATACAGGGTAGAGCGTGCTTGCAGAATGCTATGGCTGGCCAGAACCATCTCCTAACTGCTCAAAGCAGCTGAGTGACTGGGGTTGGAACAAAGTTTCGAAAAGTCGAACAGAACAGTGACAGCTGCGTGTAAACAGGTGCTTAGGACAAAGTCTTGGGACTTTGCGGCATGGAGTTTGCCAAAGTAATAATAGGTGGGCCTGGCTTACAGTAACATTGTTGCATCGCGATTGTACAACAAGCACAGTGCAAACTTTTGTCTGAAAAAGTAAGTAGATGTGCAACTATTCTTTGACTCTATATTAGCTACACGGTGTCGTAAAGAAAAGGTTAGGATAAGAAAAAGTAAGTAAAAAATAAAAATGAGGTTTGGTATAAAGAAGATTCTAGGAGAAATCCTAGAAGGCTACTTTTTAATAAAAGAGAATGGAGTTTGGTCTGTTCTAAACTAGAAGCAAGAAGGGTATAGTATGGAATACTTAGATTTGGTTTTCCCAATCTTTTCTTTCCAGGGTTCACTGGGTTAGCCTTTCAACCAAGCTATCCTGGTGTTCGTGGGGAACTAATTCAAAGACCACCTACTAATCTGCTTAAGTACTCTAAAGCCTCACTTGCCTGTTTACAAGGGACTTTTTAAAGAATCTTAGAAGATGGGCTGTAAGAAGGTTTGGTTAGTAGCTTAAGGACTAGCTACTTGGGTTAGTAGAATAGGGTTTTTAGATAAGTAAGATAAGAGGGTAACAAAGACAACTTAATGTCTTGGTTAACTTAGTAAGCTTTGGCTAGTAAGGACAATTTAATGTCCTTAGAGGATTTGTATAACTTGAAGCAGTCTGAAGCTTCCAATTTAGAGTTGAAGATCAAGAATAGAATTAATCTCTTTACTGCTAGTCTAATTACTGTAAGCTCTACAGGAGACGTACCACAGTCTCAAATAATGACGCCACTAGCTCTCGCAGTCTAGGGTTAGTCAAATAGTGAACTCGTGCACTATACCAAGGGCGTTTCCCTTCAGGTTATTTGAAAGTCAGAGGCTCTACTGTGCTTAAGGAATTTCCTAGGCTTTAAAGAAAGGAGTCTATTCTCTGAGAGCTAAAGAGCTCAGGGGATTAATTGCAGGTTTGCTGCTAGCTAAATCCTTGAGAGTGTGTGTGGTGCTTGGTGGGTTGGTGTGTTCGTGTTCTCAGAGAACCTCTCCTATTTATACCTTTCAGCCTGTTGTTCCTTTGCCAATAGCAAAACTGGCTCTTCTATTCTACTGTAATTACTAAGCTACTTCTACTTTTATTAATAAGCATTTTGTCTGTATTAGTCAGCCTTCTGTCTGTTTTACTAATGTATTGGTAAGCTATTACTAATGTTTGTTAGAGTATTACTATATTTTGGTAATTCATAGCTGTTGAGCATAGACCTTTACTAAGCATAGTTTCTAGATTACTAAGAAGCTGAGTCATATTATTAGTCATTGATTCACTTTTAGTAAGCTTAAGTGTCTATGCTTACTTTGCAGCTTCTGAGTAAGCGGTTTTTTT